GAGTAGGGGGGGCAATGCACCAAGTGGTTTGGCCCGAAAAAAGAGGTACGGGTCATAAAATATGGTTCAAGGATTGGGATTGGGATTGGGCTTGGGCTTGGGCCAAGGCTATGCCTACACAGGTATGACCTGACCTTTATTTTTTATTTTTTTTTGTATTATTTTCTATTTATTTTATTTGACTCTGTCCGGCTCAGGCCACGCTCATTGCGGGGCTATCTCTAAGCGACTGTCATAATGACTCCTCTATGCAATGGGAGGAAAAATATATGATGACCGCTCCTTTCTCTCTCTCTCTCAAAAGAAGGAATAATATGTGATGATCGCTCCTCTCTCTCTCTCTCTAAGTTAGGAGAATATATCATCATCTCTCTTTTTCTAAGTTGGCTTTCATCTGTGCCTCCTGCATACTACATTACAAATAAAGAAATTAAAAAAAAAAAAAAAGTTGCACATAACTTGTTGATGAGGCAATGGAGCTTCCATTTGCTTAGATAAGTAATCAAGCGAATAAGCATTTGGGCAAGGTAAAATATAGAGGTCTTAAACTTTTTAAATAAAAATAATGCATACAACCTCAGAATCAAATGAAGTGTCTTTTCCTACTAATATTATTGAAAAGTGGGTTGTCGCTAATGAGTAGACTGAGAGGAAACGATCGTCCCTTCAACCACAGATATCAGAAATAAATCATGTGGAGTGTTTTTTAGTGAGATGGATGGTGATGACTGCACAATGCATACTGTAGCATGTTGATATGATTACTAGAGAGAGGGAGAGAGAACGGTTGCACAGAGATATAAGGGGTTATTATGGTATTTACATTTTGTCTTGGAGGGAGTGAGAGGGACGGGGGATCCTGAAGGTGACCTGGCCAAGGTCTCGGTGAGGGTCTAGATTTAGCCCGGGCCTATCTACTTCTTGACTAGCTTGAGTCTTTGGCCGAATTTAATTCGACTTGGGAATGTGTATACGTGTTTACACATGCCCAAGTCTAGACCCCATCAGGTCAGGGTTATCGATCTGAACCGGCCACCCATTTGTAATGTAAGAGAAAGAAAAAGTAGGGCCCAACACATATTATACGGCCCATGAGTGAGGGGTTGAGCTCAGTCTTGAAGGCCCAATTGCTAGTTGGGCCAGAATGGGCAACATCCGCGGCACTACGGGTAGCCTTTACGAAGAGGAAGAGAGAGAGAGAGAGAGAGAGAGAGCCTGACCCGGCTTCTTGTGTTGGGCATGAACTATGGTAAAGGAGCCCTTAACGAGGCGAGTCAAGGCCCTAGGTTGCCCAGCTGGGCCTAGGCCACTCTAGCTCGACCCATGTACAGCTTGTTACTATATCTCAAGAGGCATTTTTGTCATTTGGAAGGGGTTAAGCATTAACGCAAAATGATGAAATTACCCTAAATAGTTCAGGATTAGGAAGGAGTTCAGGATTAGGAAGGAGGAACATATTTTCATAGCAATGGGGGATAACTTTATTATTATTATTATTATTATGTGAGATTTTTGTGGCTCGAGCAAACTTACTTTTTTAACCTTAGTTGTTCAATGTTTCTTTTAACCATATTACTATTATGTAGGATCATTACTCTTGTTAAAAATGCATGTCTCGTATTCCTAATAATTAACTTTTTAGGGCAAGATGGTCTTTTTGCTCGATCTAGTTGCCTGAGCAAAATGGATATTTAAGCCTACTTGTTCAGCCATAGGTAGCTGAAATTGTATATTTTTCTTGTGAAATATTTTTATTGTTCTTTTTTAAAGCAGGACAATGAATTGATATATAAACTTAAAAGCACACCTTCTACTGGAAATTGTAATCTTTTGACCTATGTAATGCTATTATAAGGGGCTTCAACCCCTTTCCCGGTATTTTCCCTAATAATATTATAAGGGGCTTCAACCCCTTTTCTGATATTTTCCCTAAATTCTTTCCATGTCTATGGCTTATATCTATTCCTTTTCTCTAAAATCTCACTTTCTCCCATCATTTTTTCTAGTTATAGAATAAACCCCATTTGAAATTGGTTATTTTTCTTACAACTCCTAAACCATAATAACCAAACATCCATGAGCCTAATAAAAATAGAGGACTAATCTGAACACTAATCCAACACTAGAACCCTAAAGACCGATACCCTAAGGTCCCAGCTTTATAGATCCTTTAAAACTCGTACAAATTAAGCTAAAGAGTCGCTCAAAACCGATGTACAATTTGGAAGTCATGGCCTGAACAAATTTGTTTAAAAAAATTTCAATTTGCTCCCAACAATGCAAAGCATATTATGAGGCCCTCCGAGCCCAACAATGAACTATGCAGCCTTTCCTGCTTGGGGCCCGATTTGCTCCAAATTTTTTATTGTTTCTTGATGGATGAATCAGGGATATTCTAGAAGCCTCTGGAGCCATATGAACACGGTTTTAACCGTATATTTGATTCAATCTAAAGCCTAAGATAACCCATAATCTTATTAAAACTACCCAAATTGGGTCATGTATAAAACCCTCTCTCATTGAAATTTTGGTTAAATAAAAAAAGGGTACTTGTTTCTGTGAGAGTATAATATAAATTTACTCATTCGGTAAAAAGACTTACTTAAGAAGATTTTTTCAATTTAAAATTTTTGGAACAAACTAATTAGCACTAGATGTTTATTTTTAAAAGTTAAAATTTAAGTTTTTTATTACTTAGATCTCACCCTCTAAAAATTGGACGGTCTCTATTAAATCTTGACACAAGAATTAATTTAAAGTATGTAGAGGGTTACAATAATAATAATAATAATTATTATTATTATTATTATTATTGAGGTTAGCCTATGGATGAAGAGGCTACATCCCAAAATTTGAATTCTTTAAATTAATCCTAGGTGCAATCTTACATGAGGGAGTAAATGAATAGCTGTCTCCCAACCCAAGTATAATATCTTTTGATAAAGCTGCTTATGACGTTTAAAAAGGAAATAACGGAGTGGGGCAATCAAGCGGCCATACAAGAGAGAAGACGGCTAAAGACATGGATTGGGTTGCTTTGATTTTAATTAACAAGGAATTTATATTCTCTCGGGAGTATACAGTTTATTTACTCCCTCATGTAAAATCACACTTACAATTAATTTAAGGATTCAAATTTTGAGGATACAACCTCTTCAACCCATAGATTAATCTCAATGAGAAAAGTACCTAATTTCACCCTCTTCACTCTTGAAAAAATAAAAAATAATGTCTTCAACATTCTATGGAGACCATCCAATTTTTAGAAGGTGAAATCTAAGCGTTAGAGCTCAAATGCAAATTTTAACTTTTGGAATTAATAATCTAGTGATAATTAATAGCTTCAAAAAATTTAAATTGAAAAAATCCTCTCAAGTGGGTCTTGGAGTAAACTTATATTATACTCTTCGTAGGACTACCATCCCTTTTTTTTTTTTTACCCACAAAGTAGTGAATGAGTTTACGGGTTTTAAGTCGTTAGTACGGAGTACAACTAAAAAGAGAAAGTGGAGGGAAAATAACCTCAAATGTTTATAAATGGACCAATACGATGTACATGAAAAAGCTTAAGATTTTAGTCTCATTAAGTTGTCCGTACATAAAACTTTATATAGATCATGAAAAATTATAAAAACCTCGAGGCCGCACAACTTATTCCAACCAAACTTTTTTTTCTCTCTTTTTTTTAAGACAAACTTTTCATGCAAATATCTCGAGAAAAAAACGTTATTTTTTCGTACATAAAAATCACACATTGACGGAACGCACCATCACATTGTCAGAGTGTATAAGTGCCACACTGCCCTAGGACAACTACCGAGCCAAAACTGAGCATTACCAGAAAACCTTTTATATATTGCAATAGCAATCTAGTAACATCTACTGTCGGAGTGCCCTTTGCAATGGCCGGATCGCTAGTTCCAACTACTGGAGAGCTAGTTACAACTAGGGGACCGCTAGTGCTTGAGCCCTACTGTCAGACCGCTATCGAAGCTTACTATTAGATCGCATTTACACAACACTATTTTGGTGGATGAGCCCTACTGTCCGACTGCTATCGAAGACCTACTATTAGATCGCACCTACATAATGCCACAACCCTATTTTGGTGGGATAGAGGAGAGACCGCCACAGCGCTGTTTTGGTGGGATAGAGGAGAAAGAGGGTAAAATAAAAGTAAGGGAAGATAATTTAGGCATATATATATATATATATTAATTTTTTATTTGATTGGAACAGCATAAAAAAATTAAAAGTGTTTTTTTTAGAAAAAATATCTTATTATCTCTTATTTTTAACTTCTATATCTCATTAGATCTAATACTTAAAAATATTACTTATAAGCAAAATGACTCCATCTTTTTTATCTTTCAACCCTTTAAACTCTTTTGATCATGTATTGGTGACCTCAACAACTTATGAAATGACTCTATCACTTTCTCTCTCTAAACTTCTATTTCTCTATCACATTATCGTCTTTCTCTCAAAACTCGATCTCTCTCTAAAACCCAAACTCCATCTCTCACTCTCATATCATATTCTCTCTCTAAACTCTATCTCTCTCCTTAAAACTCAAACTACATCCCTCTCTTTTTAAAACCCAAACTCTATCTCTCTCTCTAAAAATCCATCTCTTTTTAAAACCTAAACTCCATCTCTCACTTTTTAAAACTCTATATCTTTTTCGAGCATAAAAAAGTGTGCTCGTGTTCGAGCTCAAGCTAAATCTTTTGGCTGGTAAACTCACCAAGAAGTGAAAAGAGAGTGATAGAGTTTTAATGAAAGAGATATGAAGTTTGAATACGGTGTTATTTTAGTGTTTATTTGGATAAAAAATTTATGATAAAAAACATAGAGACGTGGTGAGATATAAAAGAATGTGACTTATTGCTTACCAGTAATATTTTAAATTTCTGGCCGTTAAAAGTTAAAAGATGAGGATAAAGTGATATTATTTTATTTTTAATTGTTTGATTTAGTCTCGTTGCATTTCCTATTATTTATTATTTCTGACCATTTCGTGGTCCTCGCCGTGGCGGACATGGCCGAAAAAATAATTTCGTGGTCCTCGCCGTGGCGGATATGGCCGAAAAAATAAGAAGAAGAAGGAGAAGGAGAAGGAGAAGCGGAAGTATATACAAAAAAAATATGGCTACCCTTCATTTCTTACAAAGGCTTTTATCAATCAGCCTCTCTCTCTCTCTTTCTTTCTCGCCCTAACCTTCTCAAATGTTTCTGCAACTCTGGAATGCCGATCTTCTTTGTTCAAGTATGACTTATTGCTTTCATGGTGTGCCCTATTTTCTCAGGGTTTTGCTTATTTTTCTAAACTTTCAAGATTCTAAAGTGTTTGTTGCTTCTTCTTTTTTTGGGTTTATTTTTCATGGGTAGTGATCATTTTCCTCAAATTTCAATTGGCGAATTTCCTGGGTATTGCACATTTTCTCAAATTTCAATTGGTAATGTTCTTCGGTATTGTTTTTTATGTTTCAAATTTCAATCGGTAATTATATTGGGAATTTCTCACATTTCTCAAATTTCGATTGGGATTTTCTTGGGTATTTTTGTTTTAATAATGTATTTTCTGGAGTATTGCTAATATAATGTCCAAAATTTTAAGTGCTTGTCGCTGATTTCTTGCTTTTGCTAGGAATTGGGTACTGATATGCTGCTTCTTTTTTCTAGATATTATTTTTGGGCTGTGATTCAAATATTGTTATTTACTAGCTATAGCTGCCAATATACCTGCGGATGATATAATTTTTTCATTTTAAGGAATTGAAAATATGTGCTTTAACTGACATTGAACTCCAAGGACTAAGAAGAAATAGTGACTGAAAATTCAGGATTCGATGAGCATGATTTAGGGGAGGGAAATTTATCAGTCCCATAGTTAATTATTATAGAGTCATGGTTAATATCCGTTCCAATTTTTAACACCATGCGGAGTTTGATCTACCACCAATGACTCGTTCGCATAGTCTAACACGGGTATGGGTTACTCCGACTGGCATCTTGCTGAGGCGAGTTCCATGTACAAACTCGGTTATAAAAAAAAATAAAAAATACTGAATTGAGGAATAAATATTTTATATACAATTTTGATTTTTTTTCTTGTCAAATGTTGTATTTTTCTATTTTCACCTTTTATTTAATTTTTTGAATTGTTTCCAGCCTTAAATCAAGATTTTCCAAATTCCGTCTTTTATATATATTTTCCATCTTTTTTGGACTGTAAATGTTGTTTGTAGTTTAGTTTGGTTTTCACTTTTCTGTTTTAAGTTTTTTTTTTAGCTTATTTTTGGGCTCCTTCACTTCTCAGGCTATTGCACTATGACTCGCCCTTGTTACTCGGCTTGGGTACAGCCGGAACCTGAGCCAAGTAATTGTACCTTGCCTCTATGGCCAGCTGGGAAGATGGATTAATGAAAGCTATAATTTAGCAAAAGTAATGTTAGAACCATGAGATCATTGGCCATGAAAATGTTGGTGAACAAATGACCCCTAGGAGACATCTCTTAATCACCTGTAATAGGCATCAAATAGAATTACAAGAGTTGGGGCATTGAGCAACCCCTACAAACCAAGATTGGTTACAATATCCATCTATTATTCATAGGTTCTCTGTTTGTTCCTTGAGAGACCAAATTGTCATCCATGAATTTATTAATATCTGTATTAAGAAAACCAGGATAGTTCATGTGATATTATTTTATTTCAGAGCATCGAATTCCAAACTTTTGTAAGCTAATAGGTCATAGAGTTACATGTATTCCTTCCTATTCTTGAAGGGGATTAGTTTAAGGTTGTTAATAGCTTAAACAAGTCTTCTGGTACATTCAGCCTGCTTATTTGATTCATTTATCTTATTGCTTCCAATAAAAATGTAAAATTTGAAGATATCGTGTTGGGTATGTGTCCATCTTATTTTGTTTTGGTTCGAGGAATGATATCATTTAGCCATACTGATTTGGGGCATACTGATCTGAGCTGGTTTGAATGGCTTCCCAAGACTGGGTTGGCTGGTCCATATTGGGGGGATTGACTAGTTAGGCATTGGGTTCATTTCTATTTGTTTTTGTTGAGGTCCAATCTAGATCTGAAACTTTGGTAGCCTATGACATTGTGTAGTTTCCTCCTACATTTGGTGATGGCATCGTTTATCTTGGCAGGTCTGGGCTACACCTCAAGTGAACTTTGGGTGATTGTAGATGCAAATATTGATCACTCTGATTGCTTCTGAGTCATGAATTGCTTACCTTTTCTTTGCACAAGACGATGCCCTTCAGCATCAGAACCAATTCCTGGTAAATTTATGTTTTCCCGGATGTGTCATTTTTGCACCTGATATCGAACTTCATGTATCCTTTACACACTGAACTAAACTACCATACACTTGGAAAAATTTTTTCGAGCACAGAGCAATGCTGCCATTGGTTGTTGTCCTTATTTTGTTAATTTGTTGGATAAATTAGTTCACATAAAGTGTTTATGAATGCAGATTCACCATCTTTCCGCAAATTTCATGTATATTCATATAATGATTTGAAGATCGCTACTGAAGATTTTGGTGAATCTAACAAAATAGGACAAGGTGGTTTTGGTTCTATTTACAAGGTACTATCATCCACTTGAAAGGTCAATTCTCTGTTTTATATACTCTTTTGCTGAAAGCTCCAGATATGGATTCACCTTGTGATATTGTGGTGGGCTATGGGCAATATTGGCAAAATTGGACTCGGTCTGGAACTTGGGCAAAGCCCAGAGCGAGTCAGCTTGGAGAATCCCATGTGGCTTGCCGAGTTTTCCCTAAATAATGGGGACATTTTGTGGAAACTAAGGAAAATTTGGGAAAAACCACATAGGAATATACAAATTGAGATATAAATTTGATTGCATGTCCTTAGAATTTCTACCACTACCACTACCTCTACCAAATGTCTCTGAATTTCTTTACTGATTGAAGATACCATACTCTAGTTGACTTGATTTTCAGTCTTGTCAGGTGACTGAATCTGATCACACATCCAAATTAAATAGTGCTATGCAAGAATAACACCAGGATATAGTACTGAATCCAATCAAATCCAAATTAGATCTGCATGGGCAAAGTCTCATTTCATGACATTTGTCGAACATCATTTTATAAACTTAATGAGCACGATGGATTTTATTTTATTTTTTGTACTTGGTTATAATACTTGGTTATAAACTTTCTTATTAATCTATGGAAATGTTTTTATTCTTTGCTGAATCTCTCATTGTATCAAAAGGGAAAACTCAAAAATGGTGCGACTGTGGCTGTGAAAGTTCTTTCCGCGCAATCCACACAAGGAGAGAGGGAGTTCTTGAATGAGATTTCTGCCATCTTTGACATTAAACACCAAAATCTTGTTGAGCTTTATGGTTGTTGTGTTGATGGGGATACCAGAATTTTGGTCTATGGCTATCTGGAAAACAACAGCCTTGCACAAGTTTTTCTGGGTAATTTTTCATTTCATGTGAAACTTCTATCAGTTATTATTTTCGTATGGCACCAGAATACTTGCTTTTATTAAAAAAAAATGTAGATAGTTTCTTTTATTCAAATGTGATTTCAGTAATATCCTACTTGCTTATTATTACAGGAAGAGTTCTGAAGTTCCTTATGCTTTTTTTTGTCAGGCAGAGAGTCCAGTGGAATTGAGTTTGACTGGATGAGAAGGAGGACAATCGGCCTTGGTGTTGCTAGTGGTCTGGCCTATCTCCATGAGGAAGTTAAACCACATATAGTGCATCGGGATATTAAAGCTAGCAATATACTCCTTGATAAGGACCTTAATCCGAAAATTTCAGATTTTGGTCTCGCCAAGCTTTTTCCAGATGACAAGACTCATATAAGCACGCGTGTTGCAGGCACTCTGTATGTTCGTTTTCCTTCTTAATAGATATCTCTTCTTCTATTGCTAATTTGAAAACTAGGCTGTTGATGATTTGCTGTTTTCTTCTTTTTGGCTCCATATGGATATTTCAGTTTAATTCAGAAGTTGTATATGGCATTCTCTTGAAGCTCTCAACATATTTCTTACACTATTTTTGGTTTGTAGTTGATGCATTGCATGGTTCTGATGTTATGGTTTCTGCTTGTACTTTGAAGAGGTTACCTGGCTCCAGAGTATGCAATAAGTGGGCAGCTGACTCGGAAAGCAGACGTCTACAGTTTTGGAGTACTTTTATTAGAAATAGTCAGTGGAGGAAGCATTCTCTACTCAGGAGTTCAGATTGAGGAACAATATCTTCTGAAAAGGGTGAGGACCATGGATGAGTGCCTCTGTTAGACAAGAATTAGAGGTTTGCTTTGACAATTAGTTATCATCATATGCACTTTAGGGACTGTTTTTTGATGAATCTCTGTTGGATCTTTAAACTCGAACCTAGATAAATCCGAATGTGTAGGCAGATGTAAACAAGTCTTTTAAACTAACATACGTAGAATGTTGTTTTAGTTTATGTGGCATTTGGTGTGTATCCCCACGTGCGTGTGTGAGTGCGTATGTGTGTGCGTGAAGAGAAGGATTTTGGAGATGGCAAATAAAATATTCCTTTTTCATTAAATTATTGAGAAGAGTGTCAAATTGCAGTTGGAAAAGGGACAAGCTGACTATCTCTTTGTTGACCATGATAAAACTTTTTATGACTTGTGCCCCTGAGTAAAGAACTTTTACAGAAAATAAGTTATGGAGAATTGAGTTTTGGTTCAGTGGTGGATTTCTGTTCATTTCTTCAATATATTCTGCGAGCTTCCTGCAAAATAGTTCAATATGATGTTTCAGAACTTTATGATTCTAAGAAATCATTTTATTCCCTGTGATGCTGACCTAGAGAACTATGCTTATTCTTTGGATCTTTTACCAGAGCAATCACTGATGACTGCAAATGTGGAAGTAACAATATATCATGGAAGTAATGAATATCATGTTGCTTAAAAATGAAAGTAATGCTGTAATAGTTGCTGCAATGTCTATTTTGTCAATATGATTATCAATAAGATTGAGGACATACATGGGAAATAGTGTGAATGCATATCAGCATATGTTAGGAGTTGTTATAGATTGATGTATGAAACAGGGTTCCGTAACTCTCCAGAGTTGACTCGAATTTGGGCAAGTTACTCGGACTCGCCCTATGGCAAGGCAATTAAGTTTGCCCATTTTCGTTCAAACATCACCCAAATGACATGTTGGCTAGTATATAAGCTTCAGTGGCCTCACGACCAAGGTTCAAATTCCCTCAGACAGCACCGTATCGTTTTTTTATTAAAAAAATACGCTTCAGTAAAGTAAGGTTTAACAAGGTTTATTAAAGAAATAATGTAACGGGGGTTAAAAAAATATTAAATATGGGCATGGGTCTTGTTGAAGATCCATGTCATTTATATATATATATATATATATTTCTTTGTTTTTCTTTCTTTTCTCTTGACGGGCTGGATTCAGGCGAGTTACTTGGACTTGCTTGAGCAACTCGGCTTGGCCAATGGATGAGTACCTTGGCGGAGTCGAGTCCCAGTGCTTTGGTATGAAATATAACAAACGGGGTAGCAAATGCATTAAATAATGACATGGGGCATATAAATTGTGCATTCCCCTAACCTAACAACGGAATGCTCCTAACAAATTAGTGCACAGAACCCTATAAATGTTAAACTTGCTGAGTAGCATCATGTGTGGTATCACTTGCATCAAGTTAGCCTGAGTAACCTCCTAAGCAAGTAGTTAATATTCCTAACAGGAAGCAGCATTAGGTGTATTCCAGGTTATGAACTATGTCGGTTTCACAAAATATTTGAACCTTGACTTTTTGTGGAAATATTAAAACTGGTTATATCCTCAATTTGCTGCAAGAAAATTTAGTAAAATGATGTTCTTTAATGATTCCTCTCAGGTCTGACTAGTGAAAATGGCACCAGAAGGATATGCAAAATGATCATAGCAGCTGTAAGCCTATTCATGAAGATACCTTTTTATGAATCATTGTTTTTAGTTGATTGGTATATTTTTTTGTCACTTTTTATAGTCATGAAAAATATTTGTCTCTTGCCTCAAGTGTTTTTCTTGTATGATATTGATGTCCTTGGACCTTCTTATTTGGTGTGTGACATGACCAATGTTAACATGTCATCTAATGGCCTGAGTTTTGCTCTATAGTTCACCATGTCATTTATGTATACGCACATTTACACCCTTGTGTATACACACATATGCCTGCATGTATGCATGTAATGGGTTATATTCCTATTGCTGAAATTAATGTTGATAGTAAGGCCGTTTTAATGTGTAAGATCCCTGGTTTGCTGCTTGCTGCTTGCTGCTTGCTGCTTATTTGCGTGCCTTTTGGATAAAAGAAATTAGCTAGAAAACCAGAACAATAACTTCTATGCAAATCACTTAAATAGTTTCAATCACTTCTTTAGTGAACTTTAATGAGTATCAGTTGGTGATTTGTTGTCATTGTGATGCAGGCATGGGAACTGCACAAAGCAGGTGAGCTCTTAGAGCTCATTGATCCAAAACTAAATGGGGATTATCCCAGGGAGGAAGCAATTTGGTTTCTTAAAGTGGCCCTTCTCTGCGTACAAGAGAAACCTAACCTAAGACCTAATATGTCTGAAGTTGTGAAGATGTTATCAGATACTGTTAATGATATGGATGTGAATATCCGGAAACCAGGGATCATACCTAATTTTATGGCTATGAAAATGGGCAGAACGAAGAAAACTGAAGTCCTCTCTCAGAGCTCAGGTCACGAGGGGTCTTTCTTCTCTTCCTCCACTGGTGTCACACTAGGGTCATTTTCATCCTAAAATACATTTCATACAAAATATTGAGCCTAAGATGGATGGTTTGAGCTTCTTGCATAGTTGCTGAACTTGGCTTGGCTTCACCGAAGAGAGTCGCCATACTTCGAGAAAGTCATGATTTGGTTGGAAGAGCAACCAGTGGTGTCAGGCGAGGCTAGATGAAGGATAAATTACCCAAGGAATGTAAGATTAAGAGGCCTCAATGTTTAGCCATGGATACCAATGTTAAAGAATGCTGACTCGGGCTCGGACATGCCAGGGTCTCGGGCCCTAGGAAGTTAGAGGCATAGTTTGAGAACTAACTTGGTTGATTTTCTGGGAAAATAACAAAAGGGACCCTAGGCTCGAGCGTAACTTGATTCCTGGGTAACTCCCACTTGAATCTCTAGGGTCTTGTCTGATTCTGAATGGGCATGCGATTTTCACACCATTACACCAATGCTACCACCACCATCACACAAGTTATAATTCAGATGGAAACAATTAAACATCCCACGAGATCAAATGATATTAACTAAATTGCTATTTGATTGATTATTATGGGAAAAATTATACAGAAATTTTGGAACTGAATGGTTTTCTATCTGCTGGGTCATCAGTCTTGATGGAGTTGGTCTCCGGCTCTCAGCTCAAACCCAACCAAGTTTGCAATTCCATTTCACTCGTACATTTCTCATACACCGTAATTGTTTTTAAGGTTTTGTAAAATATATAATAAAAAAAAGAGACTACAAAATGTCTATGGGTGAAAATGAACAGTATTTTTGTCCATAACTCTCATGAGTCCGGGGCGGTTTTTAAGCAAAGCCTATGTTCGTGACGGGGTGAAGCATTGTCGTTTTTAGAATTTTTCCATAATAAAATTAGCATAAATCTTTTGACAAAAAGTTCCTAATAAATGCTAAGACTGCCCAGCCCAGTCGAGTCGACTATGAAAAACCACATAATGGGTGACAAAAGTGTGACCGAGGGTAGGACGAGGGTCGGGCCACCTTGCTCGGCCTTTTTTTTTTCCCTTATTTTTTCTTGTTTCTTCTTTGTGTCCATTAGCCGTGGCCCTGCCCCAAACCTGGCCAAGGCTGTGTTGGTCTAGTCCGGTCTGAGTTGGGCCCAAGCCAAAGATGGCCGCCCTGGCCTACGCTTGCCCAAAGAAGTGGAAATCACTAAAATATCTCCAATTACTTATGAACTCTAAAATAAGAATGAGCCTTTATTTTGTTAATTGTTGTGGGAGCTCACAAATTCAGCCAAAACAAAAAAAAAAAATAGAGAAAAAAAGGGGGGGAAGATAGAGCTTCCTTCCTATTATTTTTTGTTCCAATATAAATTTGCGAAAGTCATTGGTCTTTGGAGACCTTGTTCTGCAACCTTTTATCTCAAAACTCACCAAAAATTGTAATTCTAGCGGTGGAAAAAATATTATCTCAGTCTTGACCATTATAGATGTAAAAAAAATATATATATATAATTTTCTATTATTTCTTATTTCAATATAAATTTGCGAAAGTCCTTAGCCCTTCTGAGGACCTTGTTCCAATTTCTCCAGGAAAAAAAAAAGAAAAAAAAGGAGCCCATATCTTTTGTTAAGAAAATATTTTGATAAGGCTGCAACCCTTTAATGCTTTACCTCCAAACTCACTAAAAATTGTAGTTCTCCATGGAAAATATTTAAAATGATTATCTTCATTATGGTTGTAAAAAACAAAAAAAAAAATTTAAACTCTAAAAATATTATATATTACAAAATATTATCTAGACCGTCCATTCGCCCTAAAATAAATAAACGTTATTGGATACGCAAAATCTTTAATTTTTTGAGTTTTAAATTTCATAATCAGCATTGAAAATTGATTTTAAAGTTATCTTAAAGATTTTCGAAAACCAAAGTGCTTTTCAGATTAGAACTCGAACTCTAGATGAGGCTTTACTTTGTCTTCATAAATCCTAGGGCTTATAGGAACTGCGCCCCTTTCGGCAAGCATTGTCTCTCTAAACCTAGAAGGGGAGAGTAAAACAAGAATAGAAACAAAGAGCGGGAGAGGTTAAAGTACAGGACAGTCCTCAAGGAGACAATCCGAATCTTGATCAGAGTGGAATGGACGGCCCAGATTTCAAAACGTATGGCTGCCATTGGAAGAGCCAATAATGCTGCTGCTGCTGCTGCTGCTGCACATTTCCACAGACATTCTTTCTTTTCTCTTCTGTAAACATGGAAGGACCTCACCTCACTCATGAACCAATACCTCTCTCTCTAAGACCTTCATGAGACCATACCCAAAACCTATACCTCTCTCTCTAAGACCTTCAGGAGCCCATACCCAAAACCTCTCTCTCTCCCTCTCTAATATCGTAGTGAACCCACCTCTCTCTCTAAGACCTTCATGAAACAATGCCTCTCTCTCTCCAACACCTTCATGAACCAATACCTCTCTCTCTAAGACCTTCATGCACCAGTATCTCTCTCTCTCTCTGGTGTTTGTATTGCTGGATTGGGTGTTGTTCAAGAACCAAACTTGAAAACGAGACAGAAATATCATGAACTAGTAAACTTGTTTCCACTATTTATTGATACTTCATTGGTCACAAAGGGAAAAAGAAAACAAGGGAAGATTTGAATTCATATGCAACCTCAGGCTGAATAAGGAAGGAATATTATGAAAGGAATAATAAGATGAGAATGAGCAATCAAATAAGTAAATTAATGGTGAGGATACCATGCATACATGCTCCTCTCCATCCTCCAATCTTTTTTCCTTTTAGAGAGAGAGAGAGAACAGTCTTCTGCCCATCTTGTCTTTTTCCTTTTAGAGAGAGAGAGAGGGAGGGTGCAGTCTTCGGCCCATCTTGTCACAAACGAGCACCTGGAATACATAAATGATCAAGAATTAAGTTTCACAGCGCAACTGAAACATAGTAGAGAGAGAGAGAGAGAGAGAGAGAGAGAGAAGAGAGAGGTAAGTATGCATGGCTCCTCGCACGCCAGGTGCATGGTCAATGGAAGGATCATGGACGGTGCAGGTGGCATACAGGGAGCCAGGCATAGCATACTTGCACCATTCACTCATCTCTCCTCAACACACAACCTACATTTTCCTCTCACTCATCTCATCTCATCTTCTTAGAGAGAGAGAGAGAGAGAGAGAGAGAGGGGGAAGCAGGAGCAGAGGGGGAGGGAATGGAGAGGGGTTGGTGATGAGGATTTATTGAGGAGGAAAGGGAGGATTATTGTATAATACAACAAAAAAGTGTTGGGAAAAACATTTAAAGGGAATTTTTGGTTTCCTTTATTTTGTTTTATTTTATTTCATTTCATGTGTGCATGTAATGTAAAGTGTACAGTTGGTGTCCTTCCCCTCTTCTTCTCTCTCATGAAACAGACAACTTTTGGGCTTTTCAACAAAATAAAACAAAATCAAAATCCTCTCACTACACCCAACCTCTTTGCTTCCTTGCTTTTTCCTCTCTCTCTCTCTCTCTCTCTATCGCTTTTCCCTCAACTCCTCTCCAAACTCGGTCTCTCTCTCGCTTTCCCTCAACTCCTCTCCAAAACTCGGTATCTCTCTCTCTCTCTCTATCGCTTTTCTCTCAACTCCTCTCCAAAACTCGGTCTCTCTCTCTCTCATTCATTTGTCTTAGTGGTTGGGCACTAGTCGGGGGTTAAAAATGCAGGGACTCTATTTCTTAGACACAGAGGGAGGGAGGCATTTGAATTAAGGGTGTGGTATAAATAAGGCTGAGGGCATAAACAATCCAAGTATCATGTCATTTCAATACCAAAAATCTTTATGATGATATCATGAAATTTTATTTTTATATCTAAATATAAAATTTAAAGCTTTAAAAAATTGTTTAGATTAAGAAGAACTATGAACTATTAAAAAAACTTAAAAATTGATAGGTCTAGATAATACATTACAAGATGCACTATTTTTTAAGATTTGTAATCTTTTTTTTTAACTTCCATGTGTTATCAGATTCGATAATTTTTCAACATCAAACCATCTTCCAGTGAATTCTTGAGGTGCCCAATAATTTAATTATTTAAGACCTCAACCTTATATACATTTTTTCCTTGAATTAAACCCCCTATTTCTTAGAAAGAGAGAGAGAGAGGAAGGAGGGAAGGGCTGAATTGAGTGCTTTGATTTTCCTTTTTGGGCTCTCCAAAAGCAGCAGCCAGCTTTTGCCTTCTCTGCAACATATTTGTCTCGAGCGTTTGGAAGATTTGGATTCCCTTTCCCCTAAAGCCTCCCCCTCTCTCTCTCTCTAAAACTTTATGGTGGTGGGGTTTCATTTTTCCATGCTATTGTCCTAAGGGAAAAGTACCTCTAAAATTTGTTTATTTATATTACTTTTAAAAATTTTATTTATTTTTATCACTTATTATAAAAAATTATATAACTTTGGAATTTTATTTATTGAAATATAGCAGTAATTTCAGTGTCTAGTTTATTTAAAGTTTTAGATTGAGCATTATCATGTATTAATAATGTCTTAAAAGATTTGTCAAATATACATTGTCCGATAGGAAAGAAACTGTCATCCCCACTATATTATATATATATAAAATTAATCCGATAAAATAGACGGTGTAGATTATCACAATTTTATTTCTGAATATAAAGTTACAACCTTAAATAATCCACATCCACACTAAAAAACCAATTAATTTTTCTTAGAAGAAAATCCTCCAATCTCTTTCAATAATATCAGTACTACATTTCCACAGGTGGCAGCATTAAATTGGGGCCATCCATTTATGTCCCATGATCATCTATCTGCTTGAAAGATTAACAGTGATCAAATGGTTAGCAGTTAAAATTGTTGGGGAGGTTTTTTTCTTGTCTTTTTTATTTGATATCCTGTGTTTCCTTATCTTTTTAATTTTAAATTTAATGGGAGATTGGGCTTTTTATTGATAATGGAGAAATTTTATCGTTTTATGGGTTGGAAGTAAGAAGTGTGGGAATCAGGATGTCAGTAGGGGTGAAGGCGTTTCGTGTTTGGAGTCTTATGATGAGATTCCAATACTCAGTTTCTCTCTCTAGCTATCTAAATCTCTAGGCATCTCTATCTCTAGGAGGGTCTTTCTCTTTCCATCTCTATCTCTCTCTTTCACTTGCATATGTCTCTGTCTCTCATGTTGTTAGAGAGAGAGAGTATTGTATTGTATTGTATTGCATTGCATTGCATTACATGCAGAGGGCGTTCTCAGTTGGGGCTTTCATTTGCCCATATTTGGCTCCAAACTCAGTAGGAGGTGCATTTCATCTCTCAAACCATTTCTCCAAAATTGGGAGAGGTTTTAGGAGAAACAGATAGCGAGAGGGCTACCTCATATCATTGCTCCTCTTACCTTTTTGGGACTCATTCGATACCACCTGAGCCGTGGGGTAGAGAGAGTGACCCAACACCTTTCTTCACGTTATGAGTTATGATGGGGTATAGAACCAGAGAGAGACCCATCACCCTTCTTCATGTTATGAGTTATGATGGGGTAGAGAGAGGCTCAACACCCTTCTTCATGTCTTGGGTCAAGGAGAGACAACATCCGCATTGGCCTCCAACCAGACTAGTCAGTAGTTGAGATTAGCCAAGCTATATATCTCAAGTTCGATTCCTACTGCCACTGCTACCAAAAGAACAAAAGAAGGATTCACAACACCTAGAGTGTCCGAGTGAGAGGGAGAGAGAGACACCTTTTTGTTGGGAACCGAGGCTATCTTGTTTAGTGAATCTTTCGCTGCTATAATTCTGAAACCTTGAAACCATCTTGCCAATTATTGGTAAATTGATTTCAAGAAATCTTTGGTAAAAATATGGTAAAATTAAAAAAATGTAACATAAGAACCCCAATGGTACAACCACACACTACGAACCATAATCAAATCAACATCACCACATAATATATGTGGTTTACGCAAAATCGTGCTATATCCACGGGCGTTTGGCAAGTAAATGATTTATTATCAATAGAAGAAACTTACAAGTTTGTGTGTTTTGTAGAGATTATCTAATAAAACGGTAAAAAAAACTCAAATTGATTTTCCTACCACAATAATATCATCAATCGACTTCTTGCTTTGTCTTTGTTGACAAACATCGCCGCCGCAAAGAATCCCCGATGCAATCCAACCTAATACAAGGGTACAATTGTGCTGGAGTTTGTGCAAAAAAATTTCCAATGATTTTGGCATCATGTCTCAAAATTTTCCACCTTGATACAAAATTATACCCTTGTCTTGTCAATTATATATTGTTATTCCTTTTTTAAAGAACTTAGAGAACTTAACGAATGCCATGAGCTCTCTAGTCCAATAACTACCGTGGCCATGCCTTGCTCATTTTCAATTGTGTTTATTCTTCTTTTACAAACTCCACATTCTTCAACATTCTCATCCTTAAGTTCTTGAGGCCATCTTGCCTTCACATATACTCTAGGTGAATCATTTTCTACACATCTACTGTGCTTGAGCTGATATCACTTAGAAACCCTATGTCAGTCTCTCCCACGAAGCCTTCTTTATGCTCAAAACCTTGGCTATACTTGCCCATACTTCTTAAATTTCAAAGTACCTATTTCACTTCATTCCAACATGTTCTTCCAAGTTGGTAGAGGAAGTGGCTCTGCTAGGGTTTCCTAGCCGCTTCCAAGAGATCCACTGCCGACCAAGCCATCCTAGACAGCAGCCACCTTCACCTCTACCTAGCAACTGTAGCATCCACCGCCACCACAACCGAGTAGCAGTAGCAACCTCCACCGCCACCACAACCGAGTAGCAGTACCAGCCGCCACCGCCCTGCTGTAGCTGCCACCAACACCACCCTGTGAGAGGAAACATATGTCATGTTGCAGCTGTTGTTTCTCTTGATCTTTCCTCCTTTGAGCTAGATCTAGTCTCTTGTGGGCTAGATCTTTCTGTTTCTCTTTCTTTCTCTGGTTTTCCCCTCTCTCTCTCTCTCTTCCCAGAGGGTTGGTTTCCAGGCCTTTGTTCTAAGCCTTCCTCATCTGCTATTTCATTTCTAAGGTAGTATATAGCTTCTTGGTGTCTTAAGGGGGGGTTGTCCACCCTTCTCCCCCCCTTCTCCCTCTTCTCCATCTTCTCATGTAGTCTATTCTTCTCATCTTCTCCCATTTCCAACCTTTCTTTCTTTTCCTCTCTTCTATCTCCAACTTTTGTCCATGATCCTCCTACTCTCTTGCACTCTTTTTCTTTTCCTCGACTTTCACCTCGTCTAGGTAGGCTAACGCCTAAGATAAGATTTTCTCTTTTTTTTAGGGATTTAAGACCCTATCGCCCCCTATTTAGGTCTTATGTGGTTAACGCCTAAGACAAGATAGACCTTTTTGAGGGCCACTTTTTCCCCTGTCATGGAGGATTTTGCTTCTTGTAGTTAACTCCCAAGATAGGTATGGCTTTGCTGAAGGCCACTTCCCCAGTCATGGAAGAATTTTTTCCTTCTAAGAAGTGAGATCCCCATTTTTTCCCTGTTCAATTGCTAGACGAGTTATCGTTGACCTCTTTCTCCATCCTTTTGTCATGGTTCTTCATCTGCCCCCCCTCTGGTTTCTCTTCCCTTCCTCTTCCCTCGAACTCAATGTTTTATACCCATCCTTTGGCCATTGGTTTAGCCATTTACTTTTAGATGCTGCCATTTTGGTGCAGTTTGGGTAGCATCCCAACCCCGGCATGTGTGCTTCCTGCAGAAGGGATAATGCTTTGGTTTGTTTTCAAGTTAATGAGGCTTGAGCTCAGGGATGTGAGCAAAATAGGCTTCCTTGCTTCAAGTGGTCAGCGAGTTTTCCAAGCTTCTAGATGGAGTAGGGTTTTCGATTTTTTGTGATTGTTTGTGTCTCACAAGTTATGGTTGATCTTGCTTTGAGGTAGGGCTACTCACCCTATTTTTCCTTTTTGTAATTGTAATATTGGAGTTTATCTCCTTATATTAATGAATTCTTACTCAACTTGTTTAAAAAAAAACATTTTCTTCCTAGTTTAAAACAAAAGCCAATCAAGAAAACCACAAACAAGTGAAATAACAAAGCATATATATAGATCATGGCAATGATCAAAATCAACACTAGAGAAATATACAATACTCTGGTCACCTCAGCTATTTTTTCACCAAATTTTAAACATTGGCTTGAAGAAAATTTATAACGTATTTTCGGGTTCACATCCTCTTGTGAAAGTCCTAAATCTTCAATTTCTCTGCCTTGGCGAATATCACCATTAAGATCTTGCTTTGTCAAGATCTTCCATTGTCAAACCATGTGCCTCTTACCAAACTTCTTCTTCTTCTACAACAAAATTTACCTTTTCATTCACAATTGCTCCCCGATAATTTATACAAGTTTCCTTTTCAGACTCCCTTCATCATAGTTAGAGCCTCCTTTTAAAACTTTGAGCACTTCACCT